AATTAAATAATTAAAAAGGAGTTTGAAAATCATTAACTATTCTGGAAAATTAAAGGCTTTAAATTTTTGAGATACTACATAATATTTAAAAATCATTAAGTAGTTAATTTCTCTTTTTATTTCATTTTCATCTCAAAACGTTTTATCACCGAAGTCCTTATTTACTGAAAGAAAATGACTCCTTTAAGATTTCCTTTTTTGTAGGCGGGTTTAAACGGGAGGTATTTGCTCAAGTATAAACGAGTAAATGAACCCAGGTTTTATCGTTAGCTAATTACGCCGTGATATTAAAACTTTGTTACTCGAATTTAACTCCATCAAAAATAGTAAAAACAATAATTAATTTTTTTTTAATTTTTATTGGTTTATTAAAAAACGATTTAATACGCAATCGGAGAAGCCATAACTAAGGAATTTTTTTACAGTCATTTTACGATGTCGTAATCGTGTAATTTACGAGGAGCTAGGAGAAAATATTGCGAGAAATGGAGGGTGTCAAAATAACAACGAATAATTTCGTGAAAACCGCCGTCTGAAAGCTTTTGAAACGACTCGAATATTCTAGAATGTTCTAAGAACATTAATATTAGCATATAAACTGTTTCTCTTTATCTTCTTCCCGAATATTTTGCGCTAAGAAATTTTTAAAAAATGATTCAGTACTTTGGTGTTAAAGTACACAATAAAGAAAGTAAGGAGCAGATGTTACCTGTTTGCATTAGTGGATGAGGACTATTGCGGGTCTCTTATTACTTAACAACTCTTTCTTATCGCACGGGGACAGATGGGTTTTAAAGAAACACGAACGTATACGGAATAAGTGGCCGAGTTTCCTTGCAAACAGATGGCTAAAAACGAGGATGACTAAAGTACTTATCGGGGAATTTAATACCAAAAAGGAAACATTTTTATCGTTAACGAGTCAATTTCTAAACAAATTCAACACAATTTATTCGACCATTTCTTGAATAAGTGTTAATATGTTTAATAAAAAAATGTTATATATATTTTTTTTAGTTTCACCTGTAAAAAGATTCCATATCTTTTTTAACCATAGACGTTGAGTGTCCTAAGGGGGCATCGAACCTAACCGGCAACGACGACGACGACTACGGTGCTGTGGTATCACAAATGCCTGGAGTATTTTAATTTCGCGTACTATTGCCTAATCAACTGCAAGCCTATAAATATACAACGGCCAGCGTTCGCGTGTGCGCCTAGTTGGCACACACACGTATGATACGTTGCCGGGGCGTTTGTGTGCGTGCCACGTCGGTCTTTACGGCAAGTATATACAGTCATTGACCGCTTACCTAACCTTACTTAACGCGAAACTAACAAGACCTATAACGAAAAAGAGTATAACCCAAAAGTAGAAGGGAAAGGACTTTTATGAGTATGACACAAACTCTTCTACTAGTAGTCCTTAGAGGATGAAAGAGAGAATGAAGGTGGGGAGGTGGATGAGGAACACCCCTATTGATTTTTTTTTTCATCCCATCCTAGGGGAGACACATTGCTCCACATTGCAGTTCCCCCTCTTTGATTCCCGGGGAAACTAAAAGCGGTTGCAGCTCCAAAGAAAATGAGGAAGAAAAAAAAATATAGGGAAAGGACAAAATCATATAGCACCAGTGACACAATTTTTAAAGTCAGCATTAAAAAAAAAACATTTTTTATTTATCAAGTTGTTAATAAATGGAGTGAATCAATTGTATCTTTGAATATGATTATGGGGGTTGGTTTCCAACATTTTGTAGTGTGGGGTAGGACCAACCCCTCGTTAAACCGCCCCATAGCAACAGCAACCCTCCAACAATCCTGCAGCTGCTATGCAACTCCCCCTCTTTTATTCGTACATAGCAGAGCTGAAATGAAAATAATGATCGATTTTCGAGAACAACAAAAGACTAGAAATAGTAATTTTCTATTCCAACTCGATCCTATCGTTCTAACAACGAGCGACAAGCGGCGAACAAAGATAACGTTACCGTTTTTTTGAGGCAGGTCAGTTAACAAACAATCCTTGCTACTGGTTGATAGATAGAGAGGTGTTGGATGCCAATGACCTAGGTTTATTATTTTCCAAGTAAATTAGAAAGATTAACTCGACCGACATTTTAAACTACGTATTAAAATATTATTTGAGCGAAAGATCATCCAATTTGAAGGACATAGATTTCTTTCTATGAGATTATAATTTATGGATTTATCGAAACAGAACAGATGAGAAACAGAACAATGTATCTACAGCACATTAAATTGGTAAAACTTCAAACTGAACAAAGAAGCCAATTTGCAGCTCACCTTGCAAATAAGAATTAGTAGAAGAAATAAAGAGAAATGAGTTAAAATCTCCATTACGTATGTCCATTTTAAGCTTGTTAAGAAAATAACAAGGTTAAAAACAATAATAACTTCGAGGTCATTTGAAGGACATTTGATAATATCATTAAATATGACAAAAAAAGACATTGTATAACATAAATTTTATTTAGGTAGACATAAATATGTGGAGGTCAAATAAAAATTCCATCCACCTGCAAAAAATTACCACATGCTTTTTAGTTTAGTCTACCCACACCCTCATACAAAAGTAAGTTTTATTATTCCGTTTCTTTGTGTGGATATGGGTTAGGAGTGCTACATACAACAAAAAATATATTGTGTTGTGGCGGTTGAAGGTCAGGAACGATACGAAATGCGGGTAGAAAATGTTGTAGACTAGACTAAGTAGACGATAGTTTCTCCTGAAATTCGAGGCTTGGTCGCGATGTGAAAAACGTCGTCGAAAGTGCAGTTAGAGGAGCAGCTTTGCGACGACTTCTTCGATGGGTTTCTTTCCTTTTCTCTCTCCTCCATTGAGAGAATTGCAGAGGCGGCGGACGACGCCGGTTAAACGCAAAAAGGAAAGCAGCGGCCTCCGAACCGGTCTCTCGTGGATGCATTTGCCCGATCGGGCACAACGAGTTAAACTCCTCTAAACTTAACTGTAAAATCGTTCCTAAGACGTTTCTGATACGACATTTTCACTCATTAATGACTTAGAAAAAAATCAATTTTGTGAGGAAATTTTAACTTATTCTTAGATGGAAGAAAATAAACTTTCGGATGAAACGATAAACAATTTTCTCGAAATAGATGTTAGCGTTTACTTGCAGTTGCAGTGTTAATGGACTTTCTTGTAAACTAATTCCAGAAATTAAAATATTTGAATCAAAATATTGATTAAAACTTTTTTTATTTCGGTTGGTTTAATTTAGATTAACGACGGTGATGTCACCATCCTCGTCCACTAACGAAGATTTATCTTCCCCACAAGTTCAGAGCAAGGTTAATTCGCCACTTACTCCGAGAACTCTTTGGAGGAGGAGAAGCACGAAAGTGTGGCACAGGAAGTGGTCGCGTAACAAAAATTGTTTGCTTTACAAAGTGATTTGCAATTCAGGTCAACACTCAACCAATGAGATTGGTGATTGAAACCCACAAGAAATTATTTATATTTTTTTTTTTTAAGAAAAAGAATTCGAGATTATTAATAAACCTGCACATGCTCGAGCACTCCGCCCACTTCTTCTGCAGGAAACAATAAAGCCGAATATAAATAAATCGAGCTTGAATATTGTTTGGTGGGGAAAAGCGAAGAAGGGAATATGAGGTGAAGAAGAAGGAGATATGGAGGTGGGATATTTTCGTCTTGACACACCGGTTCTTACGCCCATTGTTGTTATAATCGGAAAACAATGTATTTAAGCCTACAACATCAAGTTTTAAATAATTCAAGAAAAATTGGTTCAACATTTTCAAAATTAAAAACCCTTTGTTCCAAAAAAAAACCTCTTAATAGCCTATTATCCTCGTCATCCTGGTGGACACAAAAAGAGCGAAAATTAATATTAAAACCTTCCCGTTAGCGATTCCCTTTGTTTCGGTTTCTGCAAATCTTATCAAGTATTTATTTCAAGGGGAGGGATTCTCTTCGCCTAATTGTTCGTCAAATTGATGAAAGCGGTCTCTGAATTTTTCACTCGGTTTCGTTCCCGGTTTGGTGAAACGATGGGGATTTGCTCTTAAAGTCACGTCGATACGGTCGTAAATACGCCATTGAGACCATATAAGAAGCGACGCGATCGGTTTCGGATGAGAGAGTTGCCCTAACGAGGTTGATACAATTTTTTTTAATGAAAAAATATATGGGAACCGTTTGAGTTACTCCTAATACAATTGATTAAGTTTTAATTGAATCATTAAAACTTGTAAAAGAGAAAATGGGTTTTAATAAAGTGTAATAACAAAGATGTTCAGTATTCAGTTGCCGTTGGTGGCGATATTTTAGAACTGCAATGCAGTTTGGACCGTTTATTCCTCCCGTTTCCCCCAGGATATTATAGCAACCTGTGCGCACACAGTCCTTTACGATTATGGCCGTCTGGGTTTTGCTACAACAGTCCACGAGGTGCTGGTTCACTTTGCCTCTATTGCCACTTTTCCCATTTAATAACATCCAGCGATAGAAAATTTACATAAAAAAATATCGCTTATTACTAAAGTTAAAAATTTCTTTATATTTACAAAAAAAAAACAATGTGGGTTATTTCTATGTGGCAGATCTGTTCTTGCGAAACTCACAGGATTAACACGGCCCTGACCTAGCAAGAACAAACCGGTCCCGAGTCCATCGGGCGCACTTCTTCTTCGGTTAACCAAGCAGAGAGAAACGAAGAGGGGACTCTCGACAACAACACCTCTTAAGGCGTTGGGGCCGTCGAGGTGTGGCTGCAGACGCCCCCCCTTTTTGTCCGTTTACGATCTCCGCAGGATTCGTTGAATTGCACTTCAGAAAATCTTTCTTAACCGTCTGGACTTGATCAAGAAAAAGGTTTAGAAAAAGACTTTGAGAAAGTCCAGAGACCATCTTTTAAAGAAAAGAGCCCATTCAGTCATCGTTATCTCCGATTAAAATTGTTTTTCCTTCGAGTATTAATATAATTTTTTCTTACCTTAATCTGATAGGAATTAAGTTTGTTCTTTGGCAATGCGTTGAAGGATGAAAAGTCGAGCCGCCTGGTGAAGATGCCATTGGCACCGCCTGCGACATTCCTGCAACAAAAACCACAACAGGAAATGGTTAGTAACAATGAATAGCGAATAGATATAACGCCCACGTTCCGATATCTTTCGAGAACGATCGATTTAGCTTGAGGCGGGCGAATTACGTGCTGAAACCAGTTGTAATTATACGTTCTTAGACCTCTTGGTAATACTCGGCAATTGCCGAAGCTAATTTATCAATTAGGTTTTCGCTCCGAGCGGTACCAATTTTAATAACAAGATTGTGCGTAAAATAACTACACGTTTACATGATGTTATAAAATAAACATTTCAAATTAAAATTTTTTTAAAAAGTAAGAGTGATTTTTAGATCGGGTTTCGCTTGCAAAAATTGAATTAAGCTTCGGGAAGGAAGTCGTCCGGGAGGGTGGATCGTGAAAAATCAATAGGTAGAGGAGGAATGCACGCGAAAAAAAAGCCGTGAACCCCCGGCAGCGAAATTTCAAGGGCGCGCTGCCAAAATCAATGAATGGAGGTCTGGGTCTGTTGTACGCAATGCAGTCAATATCTGGGGGCAGAAACGCAGCCCGGGGGTGGAGCAGCGTAGGCGGGAGGGGATGCCAGAGACACTGGGGCTCAAGGTCGGCCAAGGTCAGCCCTTAAAAAGGGCTGATTTCGATCCACTCATACCCCTATTAAAAAAAATCCAACAAAATAATTAAAAAAAAATTTTGTACATTTACTGAAATATTTTTCTGTTTCTTTTTTTGATGGAAAAAAACTCGTTAAAAATAAATTACGTAAACCAAGTCCAGAAATAAAAAGGCGAACGCCAACAAACTTGGGTATTTTTGGGGCGGAGTGTTTACAAATGGACCCAAACGCACAGATGTTTGGTGTGTGTTGTGTGCGAGCCGCGAGATTTGTTTGAGAAGCAGAGTCCCGAGAACGAACGAAAAAGAAGAAAAAGATACGCCGAAGAAGGAGTAGGACTCCGCGCTGTTCAAGGTCGCCGAGTTCGACTCAAGATTATTTCTTTTAGTCAAGGTTAAGGATTGAGAAGGCGAAGAAGAAGAAGCCTTCTTGTTGTTACTCAGGATTAACAAGGAATTTTTACAGGAGATTTAGCGTCGTGATGGCTTATCACCTAAAAAACAATTTGCCTAAAAATAGGTTCGACTCGTTTCAGGTCCCGATAGCTTATTTCCTGTTTATAATCCACATCCGGCCACTTAATTTAAAAAACAACTGCGTTGTTTCTGTTATTATTTATTATTATTGCAATAACAAAAAAAAATATAAAAATATATTTCCATAGAAACTAGGGCGTACCTACTTACTTTCTCGTACTAGTGTTAGTTCTACATAGTAACAATGTTAGTGTAAAACTAGAATTAACACTAGACCTAGAACTAGAATCATTCGGGTTTAGCCGTCTTTAGAGACGTGTGGCTATTATTTCTCTACAATTATTTCACATTTGATCACGTGAATCACGCGTGAGTCACGTGATTCATATATAAATTAATGGCGGGCATAAAGAATCACTCGCGCGCACATCTCTAATTGTAACCAACACTAATACAGAGAAAGTAGGAGATGGATAAACTGAAATTTATTTAATGGACGTTTTAAACAATCTCAAGATTTTTGATAGAATCAGCAAGATCCAGGTCAAGATATTAATAACTCTCTACCTGACGTTTTGATTGACAGGTTTATGTTGAGACAAATAAACTGTTGATACTAAGAAGCAAATAAGTTGTCAAAGAATTTTATAAAAATTAAATATTCTATATTTTTCTTTGAAAAATTTTTGCAAAAAAAAATTAAATTAAATGATAAAACCAAGCAACAATTTAGTTTAGATTTTGTCTAAATCCAATGGAAACCTCACCTTAGTTCGTGCACAAACGACCGATTGCTGAGCCGGTTCTTGGGAGCAATGCACTTTGCCGATCTATTAATATATGTTATACATTTAGATGTTACCACACCTAAACTGGTGCGGTTTTCCAAGGATACATAACTTTACTTACCTGGTGAACGTAACATTTTCTAAAACTCAAATCAATTTGTTTAAATTGATGCCCACTAAAACATTCTCAATTTCTTAAACAAGAAAATAAATCATTTCGTTTAAAATTCTTTAGACAAGTTTTTTTGTTGTCTTCTAACTTCTACGTTTCCCACATTCAAATTTGCTTTGTGGAAGTCGTCTACGACGGCTTTTCCAAGGCCGATGATCGTTGTCGTCTCTGTTTATGTATCCCGTCTGTAATACTAATCGGCTTCGACTCGCGCGAAATTTCAATCTAAAAATCTAATATTCGAAGCGTCGACGATGCAGACTCGTTTTCGGGCGAATATTTCTCCATGCAGAATATTCGCGAGTGGAATGCATGAATAGATTTTATGTATTACGTGTCGTATTGATCACATTTTTATTTAATTCGATTTATATTTACAGGACGTAAATATTTGTTCTTATTTTCTCTATCTTTGTCGTTTATGTTTTCGTCCCGATGGGAAAGTGCATTTAACGCTGTTTTAAGCGGCGCTCGTTGTGGAACCTTGAATTATTATTAAACTGCACCGAGTAGAGGCGTACGCCCCGTTCAAAACAACTACGAGCCAACCCAGCAGTCGTTCGTTGCTTCAACTCGAGGTTTATCCTAAGCGATACGAGGTTGGTGTAGGTCCATATAATGAACCACACCAAAGAGAAATAAACTAAAAGGCTTTATTAGATTAGAAACTTTATACTTCTTCTTTCTATTTCTTTTAAGTTTTTAACTTAAATGGTATTCTTATAGCGATCGTTATCATAAAGAGGGAAAGTAAAGGTAAACATAGTAAAAAAAAACGTCCCTCTTATCGTTTTTATCGGTATTTATCTAAACGTGTTTTTAACTCTAACTTCCTTTACGTATTTTCAGTTTATTTTCTCAACTGTTATTTCAGGGGTTCAAATTTGCTATTGGTTATTTTATTCGGTTTTGAAAGTCATTTTGGTTCTTGAGATAGAAACTAGTAGTTATGGCATTTCCCATAGTACGAATTAACTTTAAAAATTCAAGAAAAATCGATTTCTTGGCAAATTGATATGAAATTAACATTAATTATTCATTAAAGCATTTACTTTCCAGCGAAAAAGTCCGTTTTGAAAAATCACTTTTGGTTCTTACGATACAAACCTAAAATTAAACAGTAACTTTACCACTTTGTGACATGAACTTAAAAAATTTCCGAAAAATCGATTTTTTGGCAAATTGATATGAAATTAACAACAATTATTAATTAAAGCATTTACTTTCCAACGAAAAAGGCCATTTTGAAAAATCACATTTGGTTCTTAACCCTTTGTGTCCCAAGAAGTCAAACATTTTAAAACTTTGTGACAGAATCAGACAGAATTAAAACGCTATCAAAATACACTCAGTAAAGACCTTTGGAATAAAATTTTAGCAAAATATGCAATCCCCCTATTTTCGCATAGTCTAAACGTCAAAAGAGATGCTAATTCAAAAATTCCTGGAAACCGTGTTTATTGAAATTAAGAAATAAAACTTATTTTAAATTGAAGCTTGAAGCTTTCTGTTTAAATCGATGTATAACAATCGATGGGTTGAATTAAAAAAATATTGAGAAAAAGAGTATTGAGTTAAAACTAACATTTTCGTATAACCTAAAAGTGTCAAAAAAGATGCTAATTTAAAAATTCCTGGAAGCCGTATTTATTGAAATTAAGGAATGAAACTTATTTTAAATTAAAGCTCAAAGCTTTCTCTTTAAAATGATGTATAATAATTGTTGGGTTGGATTGGAAAAATATAGAGAAAAAAAATTTTGAAACAAAACTTACATTTTCGAATAACCTAAAAATGTTAAAAAGATGCTAATTTAAAAATTCCTGTAAGCCGTATTTATTGAAATTAAGGAATGAAACTTATTTTAAATTAAAGCTCAAAGCTTTTTATACAGATTATTTCTTGTATACACTTGTATAGTAGAAAGTACAGACAGCTCTAAATGCGCCGAATAGATAACTACAGTTTAAAATGAGTGTTTAAAATTACCGGTACTTTAAAGTACCGTCGGGACACAAAGGGTTAAGATACAAACTTAAAATTAAATGGTAACTTTTAGCGCTTTTTGACAATAACTTAAAAAATTTCCGAAAAATCGATTTTTTTGGCAAATTGATATGAAATTATTCCCAATTATTACTTAAAGCATTTACTTTCCAAGGAAATAGCCCGTTTTGAAAAATCACTTTTGATTCTTAAGATATAAATTATTATTAAAATTTGTTGGTTAACTTTTACCACTTTTTGATTTAAATCAAAACATTCCAGAAAAATTGATTTCTTGCCAAATACCAAGTATTAAAGCATCTATTTTGCAAGGATTTTAAAAAATCGAAAGGTTTTTAATCAATAAGAATAATTGGTGAAGTGTTTGTGAAAAACGTCGACTTTCTTAGTAAACATCTCAATCCGGATTAATTTATTTTCTCTTTCGAGGAAAAATGATCAAAGTTCCGGGGCAATACATCACCTATTCGTATTCGAAACTTGCAAAAGGTGAGGTTGGTCCTTATTAAACTTTGCAGACGCCGGGTAACTTTATTTCCCTTCTTTTTACGACACTTTTCCCCCACAAAATTATATCTTACGTTTACTTTTTATTCATTTTCATGGAATCTCATCAAAAATCATTTACTTGTCCGCAAAGAAATAAATTAAAAAAATAAATCCATGTTTTTTCGGTTGTTACAGGATTGAAAAACTACTTGTTTATGCAAAAACGAACCGATTTAGCCATTCTATAAATAACCCAAACGTATTTACTAGAGTGCGTTTAAAATAAACACGCTCTCCCACTTTGGTCGACCTTTCATAACATTACCTAACAACACGGTTTTAAATGAAAAATACCTCTCGCGCAATTTTACGCATTCAATGTGTCAATAATTTTGCGATAAGATTTTTCATTTTAACAAATGTTGATATTATTTATTTACATTTTCAATACCAGTTTAACTTCGAAAGTGGATCAAAAAATTCAATTTTACATAAGATAGAAAATTTGTTTATCAATAAAAGAAAGTAGATCAAACAATTTAATCACAAATTATTATTTAAAATATGGCAAGTTTATTTTTGTAAAAAAACAATTTTCTTATCATAACAAATAAACTATTATTGAACGTTGTTTATATCGTGAAAAATAATGCGTCACAACTATAGAACGAGTGGGGAAGGTTCGCTTTAGTTTAATAACAAGGTCTCGAGTGTAAACGTTGTTAGAAACGCAGTAAGTTTTGTCGTAGCTTGTTGCTCTGGCTCTGTTTTCTCGCCTTAAAACCGAGCGAGATAGCTTCAATATATGATATAATAGCATAACTGACCAGCTCTAACATCGTGTATTTAAGCTCAAACTGCATTGAAGCTACAACGCATCGAAACGAAAACAAATTTATTTTTAGATTCTCGACATAGCACCGTATGTTGTTGTAGTATTTTGCGCAATATTTAATTTGTTGGTTGCTAATGATACTAAAGTGCATGATTCATTAAAACATTATTTTTTTCATTCATTTTGAAAGTAAGTAGGTATCATTTTTGGGATATAAAACGACTGCGAAATTGTTTACTGCGCTTTCGTCTTAAATTAACGTCATAAAAGCCGCATGTAAGAGTATTAAATTACATATGGTGATATTTGAAACGCTTTTAAGAAAAGGAAAGAAAATTCAAAAAAAGATTCATTTAAGTTAAATTTTTTTTGCTGATGATTAAAAAATATAATTCCAAGAAAATTATTAATAAAATAGTAGACTATTATGATGGATAAAAAACAAAGATCTTTCTTTATGTAAAATCCAACAGGCTGCACAAACAACGAAGTAGTAATCGATAATAATCAACAAGGGCGGTAAATATTTGAGACGTTCTTGATAAAAGACACGGGTTCTCTACACAAATAAGACCCCCCCGGATCGTTCCGGTCGTTTTAATTCCCAGGAGAGTCTGGACTATTCCGGAATAAACCCATCAGGCTACGTATTATGATTGGAAAATGAACGAAGAAATTTTTTGTTAGATCTTTTTTCGTGTTGATTGCAAATCGATACCGATTTAATTCCTAACTTTGAAACTAATAAAGTTAGAATCACGGTATTTACAGGAATTATATTAAAAAGTATGCGGATTCTAATAAAACGATTGCGAAATTGTTATTAACGTTAAGACGAAAAAGTTATTATCTAAACTATCAAAAAATGTGGAGTTTGAGGTTATTAAAATTCATAACTTTCTTAAAAACTGGTTTGGAGTCATGAAATTGTCAAAAATTGTATAATAAAGGGCGTAGATTTCGAATAAAAAGGTGTGATTTTTATAAAAATTAACAAAAAAAAAGTTATAAATAATTGAATGGAAAGTACTCAAAAAATGAGCTATGTGAATTTAAATAATTCATAACTTTGTAAGAAATCAAGTTGGAATCACGACAATTGCAAGAATTATGTTAAAAAGTATGTAAATTATAATGAATCATGTGAAATTGTTATTAAAGTATACACGAAAAAGTCATATAGTGTCAAAAATCATCAAAAAATGAAAATCGTGAGGTTATAAAAATTAATAACTCTTAAAAACTGGTTTGGAATCATGAAATTTTCAGAAATTGTATAAAGAAAGGTGTAGATTTTGAATAAAAATGCGTGATTATTATAAAAATTAACAAACAAATATTATAAATAATTGAATGGAAAGTACTCAAAAATGAGCTATACGAATTTAAAAAATTCATAACTTTCTTTAAAACTAGTTTAGAGTCATGAAATTTGCAGTATTTATATAAAAAAGGGTGTAGGTTTCGAATAAAAATGCGTGATTGTTATAAAAATGAACAAAAAAAAGTTATAAATAATTGAATACTTGAGTACTATAAAAATAAGCTATGTGAGTTTAAAAAATTCATAACTTTGTAAGACAGCAAGTTGGAATCACGTTAATAGCAGCAAGTACGCTAAAAAATATGTAAATTATAATGAGTCATGCGAAATTGTTGTTAAAGTTGGTTACGATAATGTTATGATGTATCCAAAATCATTTCAATTTGGAATAAAATAAGAATGATTATATGATTATTGTAACCGATTATTATCTAAATCCGTTTAATTGAATCTATATGCAAGAAGGAATTTAACGTATCCGTCGGGACGCTTGGACTCCATTCCTGTAACAATGGTCCCAACATTCCCAGACGGACATCGTTATTACGCAAAATTCCTGCTGGCACATATTAATCTCCACGTTCCAACCTACACATATAATTACATCTTACAAGATAAAATATATAAAATAAAGGGGAATTAAGAAAAGTTATTTAGAATACAAATAAGGAAATTGGACAACGAAGGTTGTGTTTCCCCCTTTTTGTATAAAAAAATCGATAAGCGTCGCGACGGCCGGCGAACGTCGTCGACGTCGTTTTCTCCGGACCTATCCTATTGGGGCGTCGAAATCGAGATTTAAATGAACGGAGTGGACGGGAAAACAGGCCTCGACATGTAGAAGGTCAAGGAAACGGGGCCCGGTCTATTTATCATTTTATAAATAGAACGGCGTCGTAATCTAGAGTGGGATCAGTAATGTGATTTAGATAGTCGAGGTACACAATATCCCCAAGTAAATTACTATATACAACGACCACAAGCGACAATAAGAATGTTGTTGTCGTTTTTATTGTTGATTTTACTATTTTTAAAAAATATTTTGACTCACCTAACTCTATCATTGAATTCAAATTTGCTTTTCTTCTTGCTATGTGCATGTACTGGTGAGACGCTCGATTCGCTTCCGGTTGCTGGTGGAGATGAGCTCCCGGTGCTCGAAGACAAACTTCCAGCTCGACCTCTACCTTCACCAGGTGGCACCACGGGGGCTGCGATGTTAGCGGGATGATGAGCCCCGATGGCCAATGTTGGTCTCGAATGTCGATTTCTACGTTTTTTCTTTTTAGCAGTTTCGATTTCTTCAACTCTTCCGAAGATGTTGGCAGTTGGCGGCGGTGGTGTCCAATCCAAGTCTTTCTTGAGATGCCCACGACCACATTTACAACCGCAAGCTTTAAACGCCAAATCATAACCTTTCTTGGTCCAGAGGTTCTGGTGACGTTGCCTCTCAGACCAAGATCTAGCTCGACCACAAGTCTTCAGATACGCCAAAACCGATTGCTCCCATTGTTCGAAGCACTCGCGGTGCATGTAACGGCCGACGTTGCAGGCGTCGTTGTTGCAGGTCACGCGGACGGTGTCGCGGAGATCGTCCAAAGAGATCAACATTGGGTCGTTGTTGTTGTTGCTTTGGAGTTGTTGTTGTTGGGCGCGAAGACATTCGCCGGTTGGTACGCAACACCGGGTTAAACCAGAGGTCGGAGACGTGGAGGACTCGTCTTCTAGGAGTAAGGCGGTCACCTGGTGGCGTCGCGGCGCCATCTCGTTCTTGCCGGGTCTTGTTGGGAAGAGATCGCCGTAGCTCAACAAGAAGTCCATGAAATTTCGGCGCCGAAAAACGACGCTTCTCAACGTCCTCTACGTCTTCAACTAAGTTAGTTTTTCTTCTTATTTTCTTCAAAAACTACCTTAAAGTCTGTATTTTCAATAACTACTCTCTAAAAAACCGTAAAAAAAGTCTTTCGATTCTCTGCACTCTCATCTGGGGGAGTGGAAAGTGAAGATATCGCTGCGGGTGCGTGAGCGGACTGGAGCCGGTCTGACGCCGCCAGGTTTTCGAGTCGACGAGCGTCGGGTCGTCGTTTGGTGGGGGGGCCCTCTCTCGAAAGCGAAAGGCCCCGTTCGACGACGATCGGGCGGGAACGGGGGTTAAGGGGGAAATCGGGTGGCGGCGGCGGTGGCGGCGGCGGCGACGACCACGTTCGGTGATGGTCCGACGATTTCGGTTGGGGGCGGCGAGGAGAGAGGAAGCGTCGCGGCGGCGGAGGCGGCCGAATTTCGCTTTTCACTTTCGGTTTCAAACGTCGGCGCCGCGGCGCCCCCACGTTCCAAGCGCAAGCGCCGGATTCACTCTCTACGTAGAGAGTACACCGACGCCGCCGACGACGGCGTCCACGTCGGTTTTGACCATGACCCATGGACACTTTCCTTTATTTTTTATTTACTTACAAATATACACTAAATTACATATTAAGGAATAAAAATTAAATTTTCGTGCGAGGTTAATTTTGTTAACAAATAAACATGTTCAAATCGAACCTCTTTGAAGTTGAAACTGTGACTTAATATTTGTTTACAAATAAAAAAAGTGCTTGGTTGCTTATTTTATCCGTATATAAATAATTAAGTTACTAAGAACTAAAGTAACTTTAGATGAAAACTATTCATCTATTTATTTATTATTTTTAAAATTATCATTTTATTTATTATGATTAAGATGCCAAAAAGTCAGTCTCTGTCTAAGAAGGATGTTATCACAGAACGTTGATAAACAGTGCTGCATCAAGAAAAAGAATGATGATGAAGATTTCGCCAAATTCAAATTTTTTAAGTTTTACTTTTTCTATTTCTGCAAAATAACAGAGATAAACACAGTGATGTTAAAACGAAGGAAATGACATTTATACGCCTTGTAAGAACCAAGAACGAATTGCGTTGGATATTTCAACCTATATGAAAGATTGTGATGATGGTGAAGAAATAATGTGGGTAATTTTCTTTAGATAAATTTGTGTAAGAACGTGAGGGGGTGAATTTTCCTCAAAGTGTCTAAAATTGCTATAGTCAATATTTTTTTATAATATTATCTAATAACAAGATCAATTCACACTTAAAAAATTTTTTGATTGTTTACTTGAACAATTTTCGCTCACAAAACTCGTAATAATAGATAATGCTTTTGATAAACGAAAAATTTTTTTGTTATTGTTTTTGTTGTATAAAATACGATTTCTTTAAAACATAACTGATAAATGTGTCGGTTATATCTTAATTGGATAAAACGCAATTTAAAAAATAATAAAAACATCTCGGTCCATCTAAATATCTATTAATAAAAGGTCCAATTAGCGAATTTTATATTCGTTTTAAGTTGCAGAGAGGCGAGCATTTAAACAGCAGTAGCCGAAATGTGTGTCACATTTGGACAAGGTCACGATTTCAAAAAAATCCTCCTCCCAAAGCTGGCCCCCGAACCGTTTTCGTTCGGGACCAGGCAGATGATGCAAAAAAAATTCGCGCACCGATATCTGCGTTACACATGTGTGCTAACACATCGCAATTTTATTTTTTATTTTTTTCTTTTTGTTATCATTACCATTTTATTTTTTTTAACGTGCGAAGATCCACGCCTTAACGGTCTGTTATTGTCGTACATTTGTTTACGTCCTCTTAGAGAACGTGAAAAAATGCACGTTCTATGTCCTCCTTATTTTTAAACATCTTATTTTTCTCAAAACCGTTTATTTATAGAATCGGAAAAATATCTTTAAATTTAATTTCGACTTATTTATAAGTTTTCGAGATTAATTACTTTTTAAATCCATCCATGTCAGCTTATATTGTTCTGTATATCCCATTTTTTTATTCTAAATGCACACAAATAGACTCTAAAGATGATAAAAAGACCTCGAAGTTTAGATAAGATCGCTGTGGAGCAAATGCTATCGGTTATCACGCGAGCTGTGTCAACACATAACAACAGAGATATTTTTGCACGAACGCGTTGTTGAATAATTTCTCGACTTAAATATTTTTTATTTATTTATTTTTTTTCCTTATGCGCATATTACGCTTGTTACGCGGGGGATATAAAGTTTTATTATTGGCCATCAGATAAGATAAAAAGAATATGATGCGCTTTCACTTTATGTATTTGTATTTTTATACGGATTATAATTTTTTTTTTAAATAACATTTATATCACGTTAAATAATGAGGTGTTAATTATTACTTCATTATTGTGTCAACTTTATAACAAAACTTGTTAAGATATTTTCAATGCTTTTGTATTGATGAAGCACAAATTGAGATATCACGATGAGATAACAAACATTTTAAAGCAAATTTAATAGAGATTGAGTGTGCCACTAATAATTTGATTATTATAAATTTTACAAATAAAAATTTAAAAAATTGTATTTCAAGAGCAAATTGAGATATAATGATGAAACGAAGAGCATTTTAAAGCATATTTAATGAAGATTGGATGTGCCATAAAGAATTTCTTATTTTCCATAACCAGAGTTGCTATGATTTTTTCAACCCAACTCTGCACATTTGGTTAATGTAGATTTTAAGAACAAAAATTTAAAATATCGTATCTCAAGAACTAATTGAGATATATCGATGAAACAACGAGCATTTTAAAGCAAATTTAATGAAGATTTAATGTGCCATAAAGAATTTCTTATTTCCCATAATCAGGGTTGTTATGATTTTTTCAACCCAAGTCTGCACATTTGGCTGTTGTAGATTTTAAAATCAAAAATTTTAAAAATCATATCTTAAGAACAAATTGAGATAAATTTATGAAACAAAGAGCATTTTAAAGCAAATTTAATGAAGACTTAATGTGCCATAAAAATTTCTTATTTTCCATAAACCGTGTTGTTTAAACCCAATTTACCAAGGAAACTTTAAAATTTCTCGAATATCTCTAGATATTCGTAGGATTCTTTTAATGACCCAATTTTTTATTTAAATATCTTCATCGAAAAAAATCTGGCTCACTAAATTCTTTTTCTTTTAATTCATCCCATTCTCGACGTGTTTCTTTGGTCTTCTTTCTTTGTTTGGACCCAGTTTATGTTACGTAACACGCATCCCGGAGTAGTTCTTATATAACGAGATGCCAGTAGCTTCAGGCCCAACCCACGTTTAGGCGCTGTTTGTAAACCAAAAACCAGTTAGTTCGTTGGATGCAGTAAACGAGATCTCCTCTCGATCGGAGATTAAAGAAAAACTCCTCGCAATGCCCGAGAGAAAAAAAAACGCCAAAAAGAAAAAATGAAAAACCAGTTAGTGGTCGATGGTCAGGTTTTATTTGGGCCAATTTCTTTCTGGTTCAAAAATAACAGTTGATGGCATTAAAGACGAGAACCGAGAGTTTTGCGAAATGAGATTAATCGGGCCAAAGAAAAGTTCTCTTTTTCGCGTGTGTGGTAACTCTTATGTAATTTACGAATTAAAAAAGAAATATCGAAGAAGATGAAATTAAAACGTGTTATGGGGAAATTAAAATGTTAAGAAATATTTGTAAAAAAATAATTAGTTAGTTAGGTCAGGTTATGCTAATAATGCATTATCATATTCTTATTAATCGGTTTATGACACTATTAAATGCAATGAATATCAATAACGTGACTTGGTTTTATGAAAAATCCTACGTGATTGTTATCACGATGTTTCTTTGTAATTGAATCATAAAAATTTTTGATCAAGAAAGCGTTTTAAGCAGACTCAAATTTTGCAGAAAATATATCAATAAAAAATATAGATTAATGATTCTTGCTGAAATTTTTCCAATGTCCTCTTTGCCCTTGTGACCCAGCTAAAGTCAAACCGATTACGTAACCGCCAAGGACACTTCGAGGAGGAATCCAGCACGAGGAGGGCCCCTTTTCGCAGCAACAGCCCTCCTCTCTTCCTTTGACATTGGTCCGACTTTGTCCCCCCAAAAGAACTAGTATTATGTAACGTGTAACTTTTTTTTAAAGTTATTTTTAAGTTGTTTGTTTGATTTTTTTTGGGAAGGAAGAGATAGCAGGTGCTAAAAATCCCAAAAAGAGAAACTAAATTTAAAACAGAATTAAAATAAATTTAAAAACTTAAAACGTTGGATCGAAAGAGTGAATGCAGCGCCTTCATGCGGTTGCTGAGCGCATAAACAAAACGTCGCCATATGTCCGCTCTTTGCCAAAAATACAACCAAGGTCAAGGCTAACTGCCCAAAACAGCAACTCCGCGACTACGACTGTTTTGCAAAACAATCGAAATCGCATAACGTTGTTACTTAACTGTTTTTTATTTTTCTTTCGCCTCGTTTTATTTATTTAACGTTTCTCAAAAAAACTCGTTTCTTTTAGATTCCCTTAAACGACACTTTTTTGTTAAGGAGCTTACAACTGGCAATTATCCTACAAAAGATAACGTTATCCTTAGCTTCCAAAACCTCCCCCTCCTACCCTCTTAAACCCAAAGTTATTGGGAGCATTAAGAGAAGAGCTAACGCCGGTATTTATGGGAAAGTACATGTGCGCGACCCGCGAGATGGAGCTAATAAATACTGAGCGCGGGAAATACACAAAGCTTGGATCCGGCTCTGCTTCGGGGTGCGACATTTACATAGATAGGGATGCCAAAATCCAGGCAAAAAGGGTCCCGCGGAATAGAGTTCCACTTAAAGTTATGTTTATGGGGTGCCTAAGTGTGAATAGAGGAGACCCGAAGACAATGAGCGAATTGGGTAATTTTGTGTGCACTAGGAAATTGCGCCAAGGAATATCCCCGAAAGGTTTAATTGAATATAAATCATTATTTTATGGTTTTAGGGTATGTTATGTTAAAGTCTTCATTCCATTCATATTATAAAATTAATGTATCCCTATATCTTTAGATATTCTTTGAAACAGGAAGATTTTTAGCTTGCAAAATGGTTCTAATCAAAATGGGATTGTATCATTACATGGCTGAGATCAACCTGGTCTACGCAAGAATTGCTAATTACACCAACTGATTATGAGATGAAATGAGAAAATACTCTGTACTAAGATTTTGCCCATCTCAGCCATA